GTCCATCTTAAAAGGTCAACCTTATTAAGAGGAGTAGCCCAAGATCTTTATTAATTGGTCTGTGTCAACATCTTTATTCGATGTGGGATTATATCCCTTAACACGCCCCCGCAAGATGGTGGCTCATTTGAGCAGACCAATCTTGAAATCCACGTGCTCACTTTTTGGAGTCTTACCGGGATCGAATCGCTCGTTGGAGCATAATGGGCTCTGATACCATATTAAGATTTGGGGGTCCATCTTAAAAGGTCAACCTTTTTAAGAGGAGTAGCCCAAGATCTTTATTAAATTGGTCAATGTCAACATCTTTATTCGATGTGGGATTATATCCCTTAACAAGCATCATAATTTGCTCCCCCGTATTCCGTATCTAGGAATAAGAAACATAAAGAGAGAAATTTATATTAGCTACTTCGCCCATTTCAAAGAAATCCTTCATTTCCTATGATATTTCAGAGTAAGGTCCCATTTACCCAAAATAAGCATATTTTAAAACCATTTTTTTTTCAAAACTGCCCCTCACTACTATTAATTAAGAAGAACGGATACACATACGTAATTTGTATACTATACAATATAGGTAAGCCGATACGACTTTTAAAAAAAATATTAGGATACTCGGATACTACGTATTATAAAATTCAATAATAAAAATAAAATAAACACTAAATCATTTTATTTTGCCAACATCATTTTCTTCAACACCATCAACATTAGCTTCTTTATTATCATTAAAAATAACACTCTCCAACTCTGGCTCGTCTAATAATAGATTAGCACTTTCAAGCAATCCAATACCTACAAAAGTATCAAATGAGTGTCTCACAATATCTCACGTTTTGGATCCTCCTATTGAATATAGATCTAATTCTCTTGATAAAAGACACAGATTGCTATGAATGAAAATCAATTTTCAACTCTTTGTGAAGTTATTTTATAATTTCTCATAAAGTGAAAAAAAAAAAGTACGTACTCCAATTTCTTTCAACGCAAGATGAAGAAGAAGGTTGTACAAGAAGCTTCAAGGCATTGCAATGCTTTGAAACAACGATGCATCATGCATGTGAACCATTATTGATTAAGCTTCAGGTCCATGAATCCATAGAGATAGAATCAAACTCACCAATAACATTCTTCTTCATGTATCTTAACGTATCGGATGAGTATCGAAAATAATTAAAAAATATGTATTCGGTACAAATCGAAAAATTAAAAAATATAATAAAATAGAAAATAATTAAAAAATATGTATCCGATACATATCGAATATGGATACGTAATGAGTTTACAATTATCCATTTTTTTTAGACTATTAATGGCTACTTGCTAATATTAGATACTAAAAGTGTATAATTTATCTGTTGAATCAATTTTTACCTTTGCAGTTGCCCTTTGGGCAAAAAAAGTATGAACAAGAGCTTTCGAAGTGACTGATGCTACAAGCTCTTTAAACACTTTCGCCTCCTGCAAAAGAACGAAAGGGAACAAATCAATAACTAACAAAAATTATCATGACTATGATGAAGACTATAATAATCACTTTTTAAGATGTACAATGCCTTTCATTATATGAATCAGCATCATATATTTGACAGCCATTTTTTCCTTTTGTGCATATGAAATTATTATGCACTATCCAAGAATTGTAATGAGCTCAATTTTCTTTTTCTCATAATTGTTATCTATGATTTATGGAAAAAACCAGGTATACAAGACAAATGACCAACAATACATATGTCATTCTACCCCAAAAAAAGAATTACTTCAAAACATTTCTTCATCCAAAATACAACTTAAGACAAAACAAACCAAGTTTTCAAATTACAGTTACCATTAGTACTCCAATATATCCTCCGTGAATGACTCCTTCTTCAATCACATCTAGGCATGCTAGGTGCTGAGGCATATTTTTGGCAGTCTGTTTCGCTTGTTGTCTGGCCAGCTTTAATATGTCATGCGCTTCAGACAGAGGGCCAAGTTTATCCATCGAATGAAGAGAGCGTATCCACGGTTTGTGCCTACCAGCAATGTCTAATGCCCATTGCCTAGATACTTTCAGCAATTCTTGCAAAGGTACAATTGCATCAACAAGACCTACTTCCTTTCCTTCTTCTGACATTATTGGTCTAGATGACTGTAGAAAGTACATATTATCAAGTTGACATTAATAAAACGCCAACATAATGAGGTCATCAACAAATGGACATTATTCTAGTAAACGAACAGCAGATACAAGAAAGCTTTGTTGAAAGAGATAGCTCATTCGATTAGTCAAGGGTACATGCATTTAGACAGTGAAAAACTACAGAGTTCTTGTGCAAAAAATAGAACAGAGTTGCAAGTAAATTTCTTATTACTAAACATTGTAGTCACAATTGATAATGGTATGTTTCTGTTTCAAGGGAACTGAATATATGGCGCACGGACAGGTCTCCCTGATGATTTTAGAAATGAAGTATGAGGACTGCATTTGATCTAATTCTTAATCAAAAGCTCCCTAACTCGGACGAGAAAGCCTTGCTTCAGATTAAGGGTGGAACTCTCAATGTCCAAGAAGTTATTGGTTGGCGAGAGTGTTACTTTTATGCATTGATCTGCTGAACAATCTCCTGGCAGAATAGAGAATTATTTGCTCCCTTTTCAACTTCTTCCATCAGCACCTTCAACTTTATTCAAATATGTACCTCTCAACCTCTATTTTTCTTAGAAAAGCTTTACATGCCAGAACGCAAACTAAAGAAATCCATTCAAGAGGAGAACTAAATGCGGACCAAGGAAACATGCAGGGATGAGAAACTAGAAAGAGAGAATACAAGAATCAGTAGTCAGAACTAAATGTGCACCAAAGAAACTGGCATGAGTGATAACCATCGAGGCACTTTTTTATTGGTTTCTTTTATTCTAATCGATTTTTTACTAATTTTTTGAACATTAGTATAGTTACAATTCTATTTTTAAAATATTTCACATATTTTGTTCTTTTTTCTGAATCTACTCTTCCTTCTTCTTCATCTGAAAATACAGAAAAACCCCTCGAAATAAAATTTGATCCTGATTCTTTACCAAATTCATTGATGAAAGTTTAGAAATCAACAATTTCAGGTGATAATGGTTTTTTATCAAATCGATCTATTTTCTGTTCAATTTTTTGGTAATCAAAAAGAGAAAATACATTCATATTGCATAACTAGTCAAATACTTGAAAAATGACACGGTGCAAACAAGAAAGAAATAATATTCGCTCCAAATTCCCACAGTGCCTTCCTTGGGAAAGACGACCCATATCTTCAGGTTGCTCCATCCTCTAATGGAACCGAGCGTACCTTGGAGGACGTGCTACAAAAGGCTTAGGAAGCGGACATGTCCTAGAACAAATTAATTATTTTTGAATTTTTATACGTACAATTCCCTTGACACCGAAGGATATTCACATATTCTTTTGTACATAATTTTTGATAAAATCTCTTACATTCAATAACTGGAAGAATGAAATCTTATGTTAACCTAATATTATGCATGATGTAAAACTGAGGTTCAAGGTCCTCTGATAATGTTGATGTTGTTCAATTATTATTGAAAAAATTAATTATGAAGAAAGGAAAAAAAAACGCGCTATGAAGTAAAAAAGTCAACAGTAGACACTTTTCGAGATTGTTACCCGATAATGTAATTAGAAACAGTTTAGCATTGGAAGCATATGTTTCCAGAAGTTTTAGCCTTATTATCAACTAATAAGAAAGGAAGCCTCACCAGCATCATTTCAACAGCTTTTGGTAGCCCTACAAGCCTTGGAAGACGTTGTGTGCCTTGACAAAGAAGCATGATTATTGTATAGGTTATGTTAATTGAAATAAAGAAATTTCTCTTCTTCAAGCTCACATTGCAGGTGATCAAAGATAGTAAATAGAAACCTTACCACCAGACCCAGGAATAACTCCAAGGCTTAGTTCTGGAAGACCAAGTTGTGCTCTAGGCACAGCGATACGTGCATGGCAAGCCTGTATAATGTAAAGTAATACGATGAAATGCAGGAAAACTTTTCAGGTATTTCAGGAAGTGTCATTATGTAAAGGAATCACATACCAGAGCCAGCTCTAAGCCACCTCCAAGTGCAAGTCCCGCTATGGCAGCAACAGTAGGCTTCTTTGCATCTGATGAAGAAAAGGAGAACTCAAAATAATTTTAGGGATAAGCGATCGACATATTCAGTTTTGAAAGAAGTAATAAATAGAACTATACATTAGAAACTCAAAAAAATACCGAGAGCAATTTACATAATCAACAATTAAAGACTAGTCAAGGAGGACCTTCTATCACGTTGACGAGAAGATCAACAGAAGCATCTGGTAAGATAGAAAGGTCTCCTGCATATACACAAAAATTTAATTAATTCTAACATAGATTTTACAAACACAGCCCAATGAAACACACAAATATATTCGCACCAGTTTTGTGTATCATTTCAAAGACATTGATGTCAAAGCCACCAGAGAATTTCCCACCATTGCCTTCAAAATCAAGTAAAGAAAAAGATAATCAGTCGTTGACTCCAGGAAGCAGCAAAAGTTCTCTATCTAATAAGATAACACAGAATGCCATCAAATTTACAGAAATCAATAAAAGTAGTAGTGATAAACTAATATCACTAGCATAGTCGTGGATTGTGAAAATCTTGTGACTTCAAGTAAATTGAAAATTTCATGAGATTCATGGCTAATGCTGTACCCTCCTTTTGGCTCAGAGAATATTGAAAGTCAACTATTGACCCTCCGCTGGTATACCTGTCAACAACCGTAATCCCTAGTACAGAAGTTTTCTTGAACTGAACCAACATGGAGAATTTCCAAACAAGCAGGAATCGTTGACTAAGTTTTGAAGCATCGTAATCAATATATGGAATTCACTGAATGCACATATTGTAACATACTTTGCCCCACTTCTGCAACTCCCCAAATTACTAAAACAATAACAGTAGTTTATCTGCACCAAGTTTCCAGTTGATATTGTTAACTATTTACATGAATTGAAGTAATGCCATGTAAAAATTCAGGTCGCCTTCCTTATTGGGAGAACTTTGAGGCATACACGAAAGAAAAGAAAAAGGATTGATTAACTTATAACTCCGTTGTAACTATAAGTGATTGATCTCTACTGCAACGAACACTTCGGAGGAAAACCAAAGCAATAATCACTCAAAATCCGGTTAATTTTTCAATAATAAACAAATCCGAGGAAAAATTTGACAAATAAATTGAGCAAAAAATGCTACCAGTAATAACAATAGCTTTGACATCATTTCTTCTCATTGCCTCAGTAAACTTTTGCTTTAACCCTTCAAAGACTGCAAGGACACAAAACAACTCAATCAATTAATCACTTCAAGACCATACATATATGTATATATTCACGTAGCAACTTACTTTGAAGGGCAAGAGCGTTAACAGGAGGATTGGAGATGGTGATGATCGCAACGCCGTCGTTTTCAACCTCCATGATCACTACAGGCACGGCCATTTGTCTTTAGCGAACAAGTTCTCAGGGTGTGATTTCTACACCGAAGTGAAAAAGAGTGGAGAAAAGAAGGGCGTTTGGTTTGCCCTTTTTAAAGCTGTTTTCAATGTTGCACGACAAGGATAGGGTCCCACCACATCATTTAATTAGCACACCAAATTATAATCACATCATTAACTAAAATATATATTCACAATAAATAGAGCACAATAAATTTACAATTATACTTCTAATTCAATAAAAACAAAAATTGGAAAAAATAATTACGTATTGTATTCCAATATTACTCACAAGGGTGATACTACACGTAAATAATGCGGTGTCTATAAAGATGTCCACCCTCTCGTATGGAGGATGACCCCTAGGGCACATCTCTAAGTAGTAAAAGGGAAAGGTAAAAAAACTCCAACTTTGTTTGAGGTTACCGCGCCAAGGGTTCAAATCTTGAAATATGGATTTTGTCATTGTGTAAATGCAAGAGTACAAGCAGCTTTCCACCCTATACCTTTGGAGGCATAACCTGAGATTTACCTCCTTCACCAAGGTCCAGGGCATGACAAGTGGGGGCTGCCAAGAGTGCGGTTCATCCATTAATATATCTGAAGTAGGTCCCCTCCATGTGAGGAGATGGACACTGCATTATATACAAATAGCAAATTCCTACTCATAATCATAAGAATCAAAACATAAACTTATTCAACATTTTTCAATAATTTAATACAAATTCATTCTTCTTAACAGGCCTTAATAATAACAACAAATCCAAGGATATGTATAATTTTCGCCTTCTTACGTTTGTCATAAACAGAATCACAAATAAATAGGATACCCTATGCACAAATGAATTATTCAATTTCCAACATTTCCAATCCAACACAATATTGCATATTAGTTCTCATACCAGATTCTATTATTATTTCAAAATTCCACAAACAAAAATTCTGGCTTTACTTAATTAGAGTTTAGTGAATTCTAAATTCTTGCTGTCATATTTAACCCATCTTTAATTACTAAACACATCAAAGCTGGCGTAATTTGAATTCCTAAATATTTATGATTGTGGTACAACAATAAATTGTTTTATGTGATAAATATATTAAACCTATATTTATTTAATTTTACTCAAGACTATTTAACTAAATAAAAAATTGCTTAAAATTGTAGTGTAACGAACAAAATTCGTAGTGGTAATATAATTACCCACAAGGAAAACGTATTTAGTCAGGTAATTATATTTTCTAAAATAATGATAAACTTATAACATAAAAATCAAAATGCATTTTTAAGGACCAGTTTGGCTTGTGTTTCAGTTTTCAATTTTATGTTTTGAAAGTCTATTTTAAGAATGCTAAAAATACGTTTGGTTTGTCATTTTAAAAAAATTATTTCTCAAAACAAAAAATTAGAAAAAAAGTTTTGACTTGACATTTTGAAAAAAAAAAAATATTATGACATTTTATTCAATGAAATTTTTTGTNTCACGTAAATAATCATTAAGAATTTGAACTATTTTTAATTTAAATTTTTTTATAATTTTTATTTTTTTAACCATTGTTTAGTCCAAATTATTTCAAAAGTATATTTTTCTCTCTTATTTTCAACTACATGTTCTTTATTAACATAATATTGCACGTAAATTCAATTTTTTTTCTTATTTTTTAACTATGCACTCTCCATCAAATCACTATTCCAAATTGCATTTTTTGTAAAAAAAAAAAGGGACTAAAACAAGCTCTTTTAGTTTTTATAAATTTATTTTTGTAATTTTTATTTTTAGAATTTATTTTATAGATTTTTATTTTTTTAAAATTTATTATATTTTATTAGCTAAAATTTTATATTTTTATTTTTAAAATTTTATTTAAATAAAATTTTATTTAAACATTTGTATTTCCATATTTTAAGTATTTTCAGAATTTTCACTAAAAACACTCGAAACGTAAAAAATACGTTTTTAGTTTTATGTTATAAGTTTATCATTATTTTCAAAAATCACTGTTCATTGATTTGAGTAGATGGCGGAAAAATGTATTTTTGTTATCGGCTTGTTCTGCAAAACTAAAATTAGGGGAAAGCTTAAATGTTGTGCCCATTTTTCATACTTTCTTATTTTGTAAAACTAAATTAGTTGAAACTCACAGAAGCTGCTGGAGTTGTGCGAACGCGAAGTATTTTGATAGAAAGCACATGTCTTTGTCATTGACAACATTTATTTCATTTTGCTTTCAACCGAAGAATTTGATGCCTGTGAAATAAGTTCAACAATTAATTTTTACAATTTACCATCCATTATCTTAACAAAAAGTTCTGAAATGTCTCTTTACAGCACATATTTAGTTTAACGATTTCTACAATGACTTATCTGTTGCAAAGATATTGATATTTAGAGTGATGTTGAAATAGTTGAATTAGGGGGGAGAGTAAAGGCATTGAGCTGAACATTTAAGCTTCTCCATAATTTGTTTTTTTCCTTTACTGAAGGGGGGAAAATCAACCTTGCAATTGGTGTATTTATTGCAGGTAAGGAAATATTGGAGGAGGCGGATGACGTCGTTCTATTAGAGTGGGAAAATGACAACATTTTGGATAGCGCGAACGACGTGGATGTTGGAATTGTAAGAGTAGACGGTGTGATTGTACCCGAGGTGGGTATGAAGTTCAACGAGGAAAAGGAAATATATAAATTTTTACGAAAGATATGCGTACGACGTAGGATTTTCAGTTAGAAAAAGAAATTCACAAAAGGATGATGATGGAATTGTAAGATATGTTGTGTTTACATGTAGTCGGGAAGGTGGAATGAGTCGTAGTACGAGCGGTTCTTTGAAGGTCAAGCTACCATTCAGACAGGCTGGAAAGCCAACAGGATTACTGCATCTGCATATGCATGTGGAATCTGAAGAATTAACACAGTCAATCTCATTCACAATCATAAAACAAGTCATTCGAAGTCCAAATTGTATCGTTGCAACCGAGAATTGAGTGTCCATGTTAAACGACGGCTTCAATTGAACGCTATGGCAGGGATTCCGTTGCACAAAAGTTACAACTCCGCAGTTGTAGAGGCAGGGGAGAATTGAGTGCCCATGTTAAACGACAGCTTCAAGTAAACCATATGGCAGAGATTCTGTTGCACAAAAGTTATAACTCTGTAGTCGTAGAGGCGGGGGTATGAGAACATGGCTTGCGTGGAAAAAGATTGTCGAAACTATGTTGAACAAGTGAGGCGGTAAAGAGTTGGAGAAGGAGATGCCGCAGCAATACAAGCCTATTTTTCGAACATGCAAGTAAAGTGCTCAGGTTTTTACTTTAGTATGTATTTAGACGAAGACTTGCGGCTTAAAAAATATTTTTTTAGGCATACAATGGAAGTAGGCAAGCATATAAAGAGTTTGACGATGTTGTAATATTTGATACGACGTACGTAACCAATAAGTACGACATGTCGTTTGCTCTTTTTGTTGGAGTTAATCATCGTGGACAATCAATACTCCTTGGATGTGGGTTGGTCTCGAATGAAAGTAGAAACATTTATATGGCTTTTCAGGACTTGGTTTCAGTGTATGCATGACCAAGCTCCTACTTGAATTATTACTAATCAAGATAAGGCTATGCAGAACGCAATTCAGATCGTGTTCCCGAACACGAAATACAGATGGTACTTATGGCACATATTAAAGAAGTTGCCTGATTGACATTACTTGTATAGTAGTGAAAATACATTATAGACATCCTCAGCATACACTAAATTCTCCTACATTACAGTCAACCAATTACAGCCACCCACTTACTCATTCTCTATACCAACATCTTCAGCATACCTTACATTCACCCAACTTAACACCAACTACACATACCAGCAGAACAAGACTACATTAACAGAAAAAACACATACTACACATCACAAGTTGCATGGAGTGAAACTGATGCCAACATGACGACTAATCATGCCAGTCCCTTCCCTTTCTTAGCCACTTCCACACTTTCGTTGGCCTTGCATATTGTTACGATCAATTGAATATCAATCAGTTTGTCTTTGGTTACATGACATTGAGTATGGAACTGGCGAGGCAGGTGTTCATCTTCGTCAACCGCCGCATGATTATTTGAATTCACAATACCGCTACTTGATCCCCGCTTGGTTCCCCTCCGCTTGATTCCCTGTTTTCAACCCATTCCCAATATTTGCAGTTAGCACTGTAACAATTGAACAGTTTCCCTTGTTCTTCGTATCCTTCTCGACCTCAAAGCACTTCACAAAGCCTACTTTACACCACGGGCAGTGCCGTTTTCTCAAGCAATCCGCAAAGAAATGACCCTTTTGGCGACAACTATGACATACACCGGAGTTCTTTCCCGACATACTACATACGAAACAAGGACATATCCACATTAACCAACAACCACAATTCGATGCAAACTACAATTATGCACGCACTCAAAACTTACAATAATGTGGTATAAAAATAAACCTATTCAGGAATTGAATACAGTCATACATATTGATTAGCTTTATTCCCCCATTTTCTCTCTTTTTTTCCTTTTTTGGGAGTGAAATTCAGAGATTAAAATCCCAAAACTAATTTTCTCATGTCACTGTAAAAAAAAACCAAAAATCTCAATTAGATCAAATAGATCTGTAAGTTTTGAGTATTTGTGCGTGCATCACCGTAGATTGTATCTTTCGAAAATAGTGACATCAAGCAAAATAAAAAATATACTGTGCTTACATAATGTTTGCTTCGAGATACCGTCGGAGGCGAAGGCTGGAATGTAAAATGACAATTGCCCACTTAAAAGCTTCTTACTCCTGTCGAGATGGAGGAGTGATGACTTCGAACAAATTTCTCGCATCTAATGGTTTTCTGCGACTTAATGGAAATTGGAAGTGAAGGGTTGCCGCGAGACTCCGCACGGAAGCGATGGGGAACAATGTTTTTTTCTGGACAACTGGATGCTTACTCCGGTGGAGATGGATGCGTACTCGACTTCGAATGAAGGTT